TTTAAGTGATGAAAGCAATCCTTATCCCTTACATATGTTTTGTCTTTGCTTCATGGTGAGTAGATTATCACAATTAAGAAGATTAGGTATTGCAAACTTTTATGCCTCCATAAAAAAGCTGAAGTCCCAGGTTTACTGAGTGGAACTCAGAGTAAAAACCACCATTACACATAAAGCACCAAGTGTAACAAGATGAACCGCAATGTAGCTTTCCAGACTGTTTGCCCAAGCTGTTTAATGCCCTGTGTATTTCTGTTGAGGGAAAGTGAGAGCTTAAGTTGAATTATGTCCTTGCTGCTTTCAAAATACTTTAAACAGTTATTCCAACTGTAGCTAGTGTGTCATGAATTCCAATACAGAATATAAGGATCTATGTATTTAGTGTCACTGTAAGACTTTTATTTAGAGTTTTCCTTTTGGTTCTATGAAGTTAATCATAAGGAAGGAATGCACATTCTGATCATGTTAATTAGCTCAGTGAATATGACTTCTAAAGAGATCACTTAATGAGTCCTCAAGGATGCTGAAAACCATTTTATTAAGAGAAATGTTTGGTTTCCTTTACTGGCACATTCATTGGACCAAAAGGCTGTCATTAAGTAGTCTGTAGCTGTCTTGATATCTGTATATGGACAATGAAACCACTGCAGAAGACACACTGTGGATTTAATAACCACATTTTATAGCCACTGAAAAATACAAGGATAGTAGCAGAATAGTCATTTATGCTTTCAGAAAATATAAATTTAAACTTTTGAAGACATAGTTTTTACATATAAAGGACGTAAATCAGTGCCCTAAATTACTATGCTTAATTCTGTGCTTTTATTTTATCTCTTTGCCCTTAATGAAGGACACCAAGAAGCAATACCAGCTGATACAGAGTTTTGCTCATGGTTGCAAGAGTGCTTAAAAAAATTGTTAAATGCAATAAACTTTATAACTGCTCCCTTAGGCTAAGGAAAAAATGCCTCTGGGTTTTATTTTTAGGGTATGTTCTTATCTTTGCCATGTTTTTATTTAAATTCATCCTGTTGTGCCACAAAGTCCCTTTTTATGGAGTGGGGACTCAACATAGCAAAGGTCTTAATTCAGTTCTTCTGCTTGGGTAGGTTGGCCAAACATCCCCACCTACTGCTGCCATGAGGTCTTCTCTTCTTCTCTGCTCATTCTTCCATAGAACATGAGAAACAGGTTCCACCTGATAAATAAACTGCGCTCTTTACTCCTTTTCTATGCTCTAAGGAGGGGTGGAAGGCATTGCAACTGAAGCAAATCCAGCTTCACTGCACAGCAGTTACCACAAGAACAGTGGTACTTGCAGGACAGGTAGGAATTCCATTTGTTTATTTGTTTAGAAGTAAAAAAAACACTGCATCATTAGGAATCCATTCTGGAACCCAACTGAAGCACATGAATGGGCTGATATAATGCCACAGAATCTGAGCATGTATAACAGAGAATGAATTGAAAACAAACTTTTTGTGAGTGTAGGAGAGAATGCTTATTATGTGCTTCCATAATCACATCTTTCATCCAAAATTAGAATATATTGAGTAAATCCCAAAACAATCTGTGACTTCTCTAGAGCAATTCCCACACTTTCCAATTGTTCTTCAGGCAGCTTAAAGGCCATGTAGCTCAGAATGTGCTGTTGGATGCAGAATGTTTTCATCTGACTTTCTGGTGAGTTTCCACTCTGTTTTTTCAAAGTTGAAAACAGAGGACCCACTACTGGACTCATGAATAAATCCAAATGCTGGAGACTGGCTATAAGAAATATCATAAAAAGATTGAAAGCTGTGTTTAAATACAAAACTTTCTTGTGTCTATTAAACATCAACTACCAGCTACCTTGCCTGTATTTTTTCCAATATTCCCTGCATCTTTTCAATACCACTTAAAGAGGTCTAACAGTGTTTGCAACAAATCATGAAATCAGCTAGACTGTTTAAGTTCACCTAAAAATAAAAGTAACTAAAATATACCTCTAATTATTTGAAAAAGAATAAACTTAAAATCAGTATTTTCTGATTGCTCTTTTCCTCTTCTCACCCTTCTCCAGCCACACATCAAACCAGTGCTGGCTACTACTGAGCCACACAAGCACAGTCAGAAGCATAAGAATGTTTCTCTGAGTTTAGTGAAAGTCTGTCATTTATGCCAGAATCATACCCAAACACATTTAGAAATATCATTATCCTGGCAATTCGAATGACCTCACAGACCTGAATCCTGTTTTCAAAAATAGTGCCTGGGAAATTTAATACTTTTTATAATAAATGGATCTTTTCAAGGAGATTGAAACCTGGGCCCCCTATTTCTTAAAAAGACATCATAACCCAGATGCATAGATTTTAATATTAAAAAGGAGAAATTAATTAGCTCTGTGATTTCCAAATACCTGATCTCCCAATAAAAATATTCCACAAAGGTTTTTTTGGTGCAGATATCTAATCTAATCTTTGCATTCATGGAGGATCTGGATTTTTTCCTGCATTATATGATTGCTTCAGATTACAGTAAACCTTAAAAAAAATAAATAAACCCCAAAACTATGAGAGAAAACAAAATGAAAAATTGTTTTCTAGTTTTGATAGCCTCAATTCTGTAACAAATCTTTAAAGTCTCTGAAATGTTTCTATGAAGTTTATTCAGCTGCATGTGGAACATTGCAATTGAAGGTAAACACATGCCCAAACTGGGCACCTACAGAAGGACTTTCCCTCCTTAACAGAGGTACTGAAAGGGCATTGACAAACATTGGAAAGAGCAAAGAGACAGGGAAGAAATGAGTTTAAATTTTGGATACAGCTTAATTAATCTATTCAGTTGTGAGTTTACTTCTATCTGACCATCATTACTGGTTTTTCTTTTTTTGATAAATGCAGAGTCCACAAGAACACTATTGCAATGATAATGAACAGTGTAACTTGCAATCAAAACATTGGCAATTCCCAATTCCTTCACCTTAGAGAGTAATTAATTTTCTACATCAAGTATTACTAAGTTTATGATTAATACAAAATTAACACAGTTGCTGTAAAAAGTTTTTTATATGTATTCCACACTTTCGCTGAACACATTGATTTGTTCATAGATGCATACCAGAAAAACAGTTTAGAGTTCAACATCAATTTTGCATGGACTAAACTCTGCAAAATATCCTAAATATAGCTAACAGGTGAAGTTTAATACTATTTCATATAGGAACTTTTTCAGTCATAAATCAGTGGGGAAATTTGTTGACACTAAAAGAAAAATCTGTCTCATTTTAGGGGGAGACCAAGTTTCTTCTAAAACCTAGAGTGTAGTTTTTGGATTTTTCACAGTAAAAATACAAAACCTGATTTGATTTTAGGGGAAATGACTTCTAGTCAGTCTTCATAATAGGGAAAATTCCCTGTCATCATTCAATTTGGCTGAACAAGGAGTCCTCAAATTATAATATAAATGCAGAAAGTACTTGTAAGAACCTATATTTACAACATCTAATAGCATCATCTACTAAGTCTACACCTAGGAAAGCTGCAGGAACAATGAAGGCAAGAAGTGCAAGAAAGGGCCTGTTGAGATTAGCAGTGAAGACTAAGTGTAATTGGACATGCCATCACATTGAAAACAGAGGAAATGTATATAAATTCCTTGGTGAATTACTGGCTACCCTTCTGTCATTGCTTATACAGAGCTCAGTACAAAGTTTTGGGTAAGTTCCATGGAAACTTTCCTTATCATCAATTTAAAATCATTTAACTGTCTTTAAAAAGATAAAACAGTACAACTTCATCCAGTATGTGAAAAGCGTACAGACAAGAATGTCATGGTACTTCCAAGACAGTCGATTAAATTGCAACACGCATGTGCAGGCCAAGTTTCTTCCATCAGAAGGAGCAGTTTCCACGAGATTATTTAGTTTAATTAATAACTATTTATTTACAGCCTCTGACAAGAGACAGTCAAATCAAATTCTTTCAGAGAAGACAGAGCCATGCAAACTTATATCCCTCTTTCTCACTTTCAAAAGGAATCTCAATCAGTTTATGAAACATGAAAAAAAATCCTGCCTGTTGCAGTGCCACATAAATGTTCCAAAAACCTGAAGAGCTGTTGCTATAGAAGGCACATGAGCTTTAAATCTGCTGCTAATAAAATGTACTTGGAAAACATACTGAGACATAATTGCAGGTTAATAACCAGGTTTCAGAAAATCCAAAGGTGCCTCTTTTATTCCATGTGTCATAGCAGTCTGAGTGTGCAGTACAATGCAACCTAATCTTAATTAGCTTCCCTAATCTTCTATTGGTTTGAGTTGATTGGTTCTATTCAAAACTGGTCCCTAAAGTTTTTGATAACTCCCTAAATTACTTATTCTTTAGTTATCACAAACACACACACACACATATAATCACACACCCACCCTTCTACCTTTTTGCAGAGAATGAAAGGAATTAAGAACTTTTCCTTAAATATAAAGCTCAGTTTGTCTTGTGCTGTCATAAACTCTATGCATACACATTCCAGGTTTTAGTACTGGGTTTACTCATGTGTAAATGCAGGTAAGTTATTGCTATTAACACACTCTCATAAACTGACTCTTGAAGAAAACAGTAGAAATATAAACAGTTCCATAAATAAGAATTATGGACACCCAGTCTTAAATATGATGATTACTTATTTATAAGTACATCCCATTAAAAGGTATTGACCACACATCATAGTATCAGTATATACTCAGTTTAAAACAGTAGCATTTACTTGGAAGGCATAACAAAAGTGTTTTCCCCCAACAAATATTTCAAATTCCATTCTTCATATAAAATATTCTACATATTTAGGGAACAGCAAAGAATTAATCTGCTCATGCATCACATTAAACAAAGTGCAATTTTCATTTTTCAAAGATGAAAAGTAGTGTCTAGAAATGCATGTAATAATCTGCTCTTTGGGTAAGTGAACTGTCTAAGAAATTATTTGAGAATACTTACATACAGTGACTCCAGTGTGCTTTGCCCCTTTTCGCTTCTGCTGTTATTCAAGCCTCAGCTGAAACAAACCATCTTTGACAGTTTGCATTTCCTCAGAGCTGCTCTGTCTGTGTGCAATTCCCGAGATGAACACTCTTCCAATAATTTATATCCCTATCAGAGCTCTCCTGCTCCCCGAGCAGAGGCAGCACGGTCACTCTGTCATCTCCTGCTTACTGAACTTCTGCAGCAAAGAAACAATAGAGGGGAAACCGACAACTGATAGTGTCCAACTGCTCAAGGAAAAGCAACCTGAGACCAGAAAGCAACACATTAGATGGTAAAGGTACACTGAAGTGTGTCATCTGTCCTCCAGTGGCATTTTGAACCTGCAGAAAAACTGCAAAATACTGACAGTAAGCTTGGGAGGGCATAACAGTGATGGAAAAGGATTTTAAAGCAATTGTTTTCATGAATATCTAGATATTCAAAAACTAGATATTCCTTTAAAATAAATTATGTCTTAATAAAAGGAAAAATTCTCGACTTGTCTTTACCAGGAGAGCAGCAAAGGCTGAAATACTCCTGAGAGATACTATGTTCCCTTCAATAAATTAAATTACTCTGTTAATACTAGCACCATCATGTTGACAATTATGTTGCATGAGGATTAGAAGCAGTGTAACTATTTAAATAATAAAATTTCTGTTTTGAAGGAATAACAAGAAATAATTCTGATATTCTGATGAAGTGCCATCTTTTTAACACTCTTAAATTTATTTCTAAATCTAAATAACTTCACTTAAATTTATTCTAGTCTATGAGATAACTTAATTACAATAACTTCTGTGGTGAAACAAGTGAACAGATGAATTGTAACATGAATCTTCAAGGCAAGCTTTCCACCAAAAAGAGGCATCCTCCTCAAAATTCAGTTGTATGAATCAATAATAATTCCCACAAGCCTACTTATTACACAGTGGTAAATTTCATTCTACATACAGGAGTTCACAGAAATTTTATCAGATAGTGCTAAGGTTAAGAAAGCATTCAATTTGGATGGAGAGTTCAGATTAGAATTTAAATCTCCATTGGAACATAATTAATGCACTAACATCTATTAATAACTACAAAAACTGCTAGAAGAGGCAGTTCTGTTACTACTTTTTTAGAGTTCAGTAAAACTCATTTTTATAGACAGGACTAAACATTTCTAACACTTACTTTACAGCCTCCTCTGGGATGGTATATACTGCTGCAAACTCAGCACCACTTCCTGACACTTTAGAGAAAAAAGAAAGAAATGTTAAACACAGTGGCAGAAGAAAAATTTAAGTGCCTTGATTAATTTTTCTGCATTGGAATCTGACTGAGATAACACAGGTTTTAGGAGAGGGTATTACTTTTTTGAATTTAAATCAATGAGCTGGGATTTCTGCCCCCCATTGTTGTTGTAGAACATGCAGTATCATAATCTTGACATCTGGACCATTTTGGGAAGAAATAATAACTTAAAGACAGAAAAAGCATAAAGATATAAATTCAACAATGTCAGTAAATTCTCAAGAAAATATTCCTATCTAATAGTCCCCATACACAGTGCTCAAGTGCCAGAAGACCTTTAGGACATAAAGTGAAGATATTAAGCAGCTAGAATCACTTAATACCATGACCTCATTCACATAGCAGTGCTGGAGAGCAAGGAGACAAAATAATTATGGTCACAAGGGTTTAAGTGTGACCCTCTATGGACAAGTCTTGCCAGTGAGAGGCTGTTTTCATCCCCTGGATATGTAACAAGCTAAAGAAGAAGGGAGCAGTAAGGAATCTGGTGAAAAATTCATTGTATCTCTTGTTTGAATGAAAGATCTTCTAGTGCAATCCAAAGAGAAACTATTTCTCTGTAAATGTTTCATCAAGAAACATTTGCTTTGCATGTTTCTTACACTTCATGCAAAGAACTGATTCAAGACAAACCATTTCACAACTTAGATAAAGAAAAGCCTCCCACAGTTGAGCTATTTACAATTCTTAATAGAGCAGATCTCGGCATGCTGGAGATGCAGCATGTATAGCTGGAGGAAGCAATGGAATATGATGTGTCTGTTTCAGGGGAAAGGCAAAAAGCAAAGGGGACACTGAAGTAGTGACCAATTGGAGACCCTTTTAGAAGGCAAAATGAAACAAGATGTTAAGGCACACTCCAGACTGTGCTCAAGATCCAAGGCAAAGGTGTTGGTCAGTGGACTTCACAGGAATTACAGTAAGTAAAGCCCAGCTGAAGCCTTTTCTGAATTTTTTGTCAAAACACTCCCAAACTTTTCCCATCACCAAGGGCAAGCCATACTGCTGTCATCAGTCATCATATGAGGGGAGGGTCAAAAAATATTTTCACGCTTAGAATAAAATTATTTGTTAATAAGTTCACAAGGTTCTTGAGATCTTCAGACAAAGTTGAAAAATTATACTCTGATTAATTTTAGCAATAGCCCGCAGATAAAACTTGCAAAAATGTCAGGTCTAACTTTCAGGATTCAGTCACATTAGGCTTATAAATCACTTGGATGCATCTTAAATCTGTGCTTGAGACAAAGACAATTTAAGGTAAGAATATATAACCAAGCTTTTCTTAAACAACCACTAGGTAATGTAATTAGGCTAGAAAATAACAGAGATGTTAATATTGCTTGTTGAAAAATTAGAAGGGATGGCTATTGCAAGATTTCCTATTACTTTATGCAATTGTCAGAAGCAAAGGAATGAGACTATTTTTAAAGCAGCTGCTGTTCATAATGTTCTCCTTCAGATCTCCACTTTATAACTGCAGCCCATAGTGCAGCAGAGACCCTCTGCTGACACAAGAAAATTATTGTGTTTTCCTACCCAGTCTTTCAGCTGACCTAAGCAGCTCCTAACACTTGCCAGGCCAGTATGACTCTGAGCACTACAGTTAGATTACTTTTTTTCATTTCTTCCTGAAGTTCAAATAATACACATATAGTCTTTCCTTCCTTTCAAGATCAAACTTCAGCGGACAACTTTAAGCTCCCTGCCTTTCAGAAGAACCAATTATTCAGCTTTACAAAAGCTCCAACAAGAATGAGTCAGACATTGACATCCAAAGAAAGCAATGTCCTTGTCACTACGCAGGAAAACTCAGAATTTCCAGGCTCCCATGCCTTTGACATCCAACTGTATTCCTAAACAAAGTTAACTTTTCCCTTTTCTGTCTCCTCCTGGAAGTCTACCAGCTGCAGCAGGCAATCCAGAACTCTTTGCTGGGTACCAGATCTGTCTCATTTACTGCTTTCATTAACCCTGGAGGCGCAGTTTCTCAGGGCTCATTTGAAACCTCTTATTCTCCAAATACAGTTGTCAGAATTAGGGAGACACTAAACCTTCTGAGATAAGACCAAAATGGACATTCTCAATTTTCTGAATTGTTGTACATGTCCAAATGAAGGAAAATAAATTCTGCCAGAGTTTTGGTAAGTGTCCAATATTCTGGACCTGATCAATACCCACAGAGAATCTTCCAGAGAATCAAAGTGGAATTACTGAAATGTGTATGAAGAAAATTTGTAATATCAATTTCACTAGTCCCACATAAGCCTAGTTTGTGCTGTGGGTGAATGTCACCCACTGAACACCGGCAGCATCATCTTTTTCAGGAGTTTATTACCAACATTATGAAATCCCAAATCAATCCAGCTGGGATATTTTCCCTGTTAATGAGAGCAATAACATTTTCTGTTTAGAATGTCTGATCTTTCCAATTCATGAGCAGAATGATTCTACTTCAGAAATGGGGAAATCAAGTCACAGGAAAGGTACTGGCTACATAAAAGTACCCAGTAGCTCAGTGGCTTAAGGCTGGATTAGCACCTGAATATTTGAATTTACCACCCAGATGCTCACTAATCAGCCTCTCCAGAGAGCTGCCAGCCTCCCACTGCTCCATGCCAGTTACAACTTCATCTCCAGTGGAGAAGCTCAAGCCCAGCAGCCAATAGCTGTGTGCACCTTCTGCAGGCACTTACTGACTGCTGGGGCATCTGAGCAGGGCTGGCTGTTTCTGGCTGCTATTCCCAGCTCCAACTGAGCAGACTGGAGAGTACACCTGACAGCACTGGCTCAGAACAAGGCTGACACAGACACACAACACAAACAGGAAGAAATGGGGAGAGTGACTGGATGTTATTGATATAAGGTTGTATTTTTACTAGGCTGATAAATATGGTGTCTGCTCATTTCTGTAGGGGTGTGGAAATCTTATTTAACAATGTCACATTCCTGAAGAGTGCAGTTGGCATAATGCAGATAATGCACTTTAAAAGCAACACGCATTACCTTGTCATTTTATAAATTAGGCTGCAGCAGACTCAAGAAAGGGAAAAGGTAATCCCATGGAATGCCTTCACTTCTGATGCTGGTTTAGCCACCATCATTCCTGTCAAGCCAGACTAATTGCTTTGTTTTTGTGGGCTCCCAGGGAATAACATACTTACAAATTTGGAAAAAATAACAACACTGACTGTGCTGACTTTTGATCAATCACCACCTAGCTGGGAATGTCAGACCTATTAAGTGTTCATACTTTGCCAAAAATTAATGAACCAAAAATAAGTACCAGGGTTTGGAACCAGCTCTGTCTCAGCTGTATTCAATGCAACAGTCACACTGGAGTGAGGAAAGGGAAAAAAGGAGTGAAAGAAGAAAGCAAAGGTTAGTAATAATTGCAGCATGTTTTCTTTTTCTTCATTATTAAGTATGAGCAACTAGTAGAACTCATGGTGGCCAAAGGGAAGAGAGGTAATTTTTGATTTTATTGATCAAAGATTCAGAGAGATTAAAACTTAGGAATGAACAATAAATTGCTCTTCTTGTCCATAATTTCACATACACATGGAATTGAACAGGAGAAACCAGCCAAATTAACCAGTTTTTCATAAAACCAAATTCCAAGCCCAAACTTCTGAAGTGCTACAAATTAAGTTGTTGTTTTTCTTCAAGTTTTTAATTTTTTAGGTACCTCTGAATTTTCAGGAGACTGTCTCAAAGTCTTTGATAAACTATTTTCTGCTGAAAAAAATATTCAACAGACTTTTTGTATTAAGTTTAAAAGAAATATTCCAATGTCTAAAAATACCACCAAGAAACTCTAAAGGAATCCAAAGAGGAATGATTTTTTAATTACCCAGATCTTATCGAATTTTAGCAGTAACATATATGTTGGTTTTGGTTTGACTTTTTTAATTCAGTACTATTGCAGCCTCTTTTCCTTTTATTTCCCAGCATCTTTTGCCAACAATAAACGTATTTGATTTCCTTTTTAAAAAAGGTCAGATTGTCTCAAGACAATTAAAAGGAGCCATGCTGTTTGAAGAAACACTGCCATTGTCCTGCTAATGAGCCCTTGTAATCCTGAAGTTATGGTAAGAGCAAAAGAACTTCAGTACAAATAATGACAGCCAGTCCCCCAACATTTGAATGTGCCACGTCAGAAGAAAATTTCAAGAGGAAATTGCATCCATTAAGATTATATTCTTGAATCATTTGAAGGTTAATGCTTTCAAAATAAATAAAAGGTCAAAAGCACTGCAGGTCTGCATTTCTCAGGTAAAAGCCTCAGACCATGAGCCATTTGGCCAGAATGGTTTAAGTTTGAATCAAAGGCTCAAAACATAAATTTGCAAGAGCCAAGAAAATAGTTTGGATTTATCTAATGCTTTATTTAATAAGAAATTAAATATGAAAAATTTCAGAATGCCAATTTTCCACCCACTTTCCAAATGGAGTGTCTTGCCTTTTTCTATTTGAAACTACCATTAGACTTCCACATTTCTTTCTAAGTCTAAAAACTTAACAAATTTAAAAATGTATTCTAGTGTTTTTTTCTTTCAATATTGAAATTAGGAGGTGGATTGGCTAACTACTGTCCCACACCATGGCTAGTTCTTTCACAAACTGTGTGAAATAATACTTCTCTTCTTATATTCTTATAATGTTAATGTTATAATATTTCTATTTTTATATTATTATATTGTGTACAAGTATATATAGTCAAAGCTACTTTTATTCCAAGCCTCTGAGTGGTCATGGCCCAGCTGCCATGAGAGCTGAGGCTCTGGGTGCCAAAGAGCCACCACACCCCAGGCCACAGGACTAGAGAACTAAACTTGAAACATCACCTCAATTATAAAACCCTTCTCCATGTTACATTATGAAGTTGTTTCGGAGAGGTATTGAAATAAATATTTACAGTGGCCATCACATGGCTGAAGTTCAAAACTGCATGTTAAAATTTAAGCAGGGATTTTTGTGGAGGCTGGGGGAGTGTCTGTGCAGCCTCAGCAGTCCCAGCTCACCCAGGAGCCCACAGAGCTTCCACCAACATCCACGGCCCCAAGCCCTGTCCTGCCCAGGATCCCATCCCACAGCTGCCCTCCAGCCCTGGGGACTCTCGACTTGTGGGGAAGGCGTGCAGTAAAGAAGAAAGATGTCTGAAATCTGGCTCTGTCACCATTAAGTCCTCAAAAGATCCATTGCTGTCCCAAACAAATCCCTCAGGCTGCTGAGGCCTTGCTAACTCAAGTCCAGGAGAGCACGCTGCATTCCACGGGCTTACAGCTCCACCCTTGGTTTCTAAGCGTTCTCACCTTCAGAATGACATTTTGACAATACATCCCCTTTCTACATCCTTCCTGCCTCTGCTTTACCTCGTCATCTAGAGGAGACACTAAGTTGTACAAATATTTCAGATGCTGGGAATGTGGCCTGCCAGAAGCATTTCTCTCCCTGCACTCCACCACATGCCTCAGGTGACAATAGTTTTCCCTTGTGTGACAGCAATCTTCCCTCAGTGACAGCAGTTTTCCCTCAGTAACAGGAGTTTATTGTCAGGTGACAATAGTTTTCCCTCAGGTGACATTCCCCCTCTGTTCAGAGCAAAATGCATCCACAGAAGGAAGAATCCCTCAGGAAGGGAGCGAGGATGGGGATTATTTATGTGATACTCTGTGTTTTAGCAGGTTAAGGGAAATAATCCTTTTCTGCTTAGCAGTTACTCTCTTTTGGTCTTTACATTTTGTGCTTTTATTGAGAGATGAGCAAACTCCCTCCTTTTTTCTGAGTTTTCTGGAGTTTGGAAGAGGTTAAGGGAGGCACTGCATGCACAGTCTATCCACAGCTTGGGCACTGGCTTTTTCCAGGTGGCAAATAAAAAGTGATTTAGCATAATAAACATAAACAGTTGTAAAGGGGGAGGATGAGGCTGCAATGTGAGACATGCAGTCATTGTCAAAGATTTCTTTTGCTAACTGTTACTTTGCAGATTGAGCTGCCAACATTACATGGAAAATGTTGGAGAAGAAGGAAATTATCCCTTTCAATTTCTGCCATTTCATTTATCTTGATTCCCTGGATTTTACGGGGGCAAATTGTAGCGAAGTCAAGAAGGGGAGCATGCTATCTGACTTGAGGCAGTGAAACTGAGGTAGGTATTTTTAGTTAATTTACTAAATACTGTGATCAGTGGTAGTTTATAGCTCAGGTATCAGCCTCTGGATCCCTGCCCAGTGTTGTTTTGCTTTCACTCTTACTTATAAACACATCTACATCCAGATAAAAGCTTCTTTGTAAATTTTATTTATTTGTAGGTTCTACATGTGATGAAAAAGCTTTAAATGTTAGATGCAGAACTAGCTTTGGATCTAGATAAATTTTGCACTCACCAAAACAAATTTGAGCCAAATTTAGAGGTAGTGCCATATGACATGCTCCTGGGGAGTGAGAGGCTGGCTGTAGGCCCAGATCTGACAAAGATCTTTCGCACATTTTTATCTTTATACTCTGTGAATAGTTCCACTGATCATTCTGTCAAACTGAAGTACTAAAACATCATCAGGCTGGCCCTTAAGTTTTGAAAAAACGATTATTAAATGAAATAACTTTTTTTAAAAGGTATTTTTTACTTTGCTTTCTGTTTACTGAGCCTTAAGGAAACGTTTGTGTCATGTTTTCCAGTCTTTTTCTTTGCTATGACAGATACTCTTCTTTTTTCTCCTAAAATGAATCTGGACATTCTCATGTAGACTTATGCCTTTCAGAGATGAGATTTTAGCAGATGTCATATGTTGTAGGATTCTTGGTACACTTTTAATTACCCGCCTGATTAACATACCATGATAAGGACCAAGATAAGGGATACATGTTTTACTCCAATAATATGACCTTGTCAAATATTGCAATTGACCCTTTGCAGGTTTTTTTTCCCCCTCCTGTAAAGAACTGTGATTTCCTTTAAGATCTGTCTTAAATATAAATCACCAAAACAACTGATTTCTTAGGCTGCTGTGTCTAGAAGCACCAAAAGCATCATGAGCATTTTTTGAAGTAAAACTTCTTAAGAAGTTTGATTTTCTTTTAATTACCTTACTTAGATATTAAAGATTGTGGAATTTAATATCAAGCAGAGGTTTCATATATATCTTTGACTTTGAAGAAAGCGTTTAATACAGAATTTATTATATTTGTAGTCAGTTTGTCAACATTTTTCTCATCCAAAATTGAGGCTGAGCAGGAAACTCATCAAAAAATAAATATTTTTAAACACAATGAAAGCTATTTTTATTTAATATTATTTTAATATTTTAAATTTAAATTTCATCTCCCTTTAAATCCCTTTATATAGTTATCTAAGAAGTTAAAACTCCATTTTTTCTGATGTTGTGTTGCTTTCATATACTTAATGGCTTCTCTGTGTAAAAATATTAGCAAATAATTTAAGGTTTATTTTTAATGTGAAAAATCAGAGGAATCCTGTATGACTTGACAGACAATTTCAGCAGTATTACCATGCTGCCCTCTGGAGTACACTGACAAAGCACAGCACAGGAAAAGTTTTGGAGGCATCTGCTATTCTTCTTTGCATCCAAGAAAATTATCACTGGAAAAAATGAAGTCTTGGCTAAACTCTTTGAAAAGCAGGATGAATATGTAGTTTTTTTCTTCATTCAGCCCAGAACTTTCTGGGCATGTTTTCACTAGATATGTATTACTATGTAGGATTTCATCCCTGGCTAGACCTCAAAGCCTTTGATAAAAATGTGATTGTTATAGGATCACCTCAGTGCTTGTATTCAAGTTCTTTAGTGTAGATTTTAATTTTTGCTTTAAAATCACCAAATTGAGGTTTCTCAGCAAAACTGACTTTTGTTATCTGGAGGTGCAAGATCAGTGTCAGACTGTACCACTGAATCCAACTTTTGTGCCTCTTATGTAAAATAAGTCTCAGATATCCTGGGGCTCTACTAGGAGAAAGTAGTAGGTATCAAAGACAGCAATAAAACACATTTTCCCTCACAAGCTCAAAAAGCTTGGAGACATTTGGAAGACATATGCATCTGTTGTTTCCTAAATTAATTCATCTTTATCCAAGATGTGTCTCGTGGAAAAACTAAAAATTCCCTTTCACTCATCCCTCCTCTCCCTCCCTTCCCCAAATTGCCTTAAAACCACATAAGAATGAAAATAAAGGTCAGGCATTTATGTTATCTCTAAGTTCTGGGAAAAAAAACCCAAACCAAAACACCAAAAAAGGGGGGTTTAGGCCCAGTTTGAATTTATTATGTTTTTTAGGAGTCTCTTCCTTAATACAGATATTTAATATAAAAATTCCCAGTTCCAGATTGTTGATAGCTGGAATTGGGTTCAAAGACAGCACAGGTCTACAAACAGAAAGTACAACAAGCCCCTTATTTATCCTGCTTCTCCAATACAGAGAGACTTTCAAGTGTACATAATTCATGTTTATTTCTGGGTCCTTTCTCTTCTTCCACAATTGGAAAAATTGCACAAGTTAAAAGGAAAGGTGCTTTATCTCCAAAAGATTTTTTTAGGGACTTTGCCACACTTGGAAGCAGCTAATTAAACTGTTAGAAGTTATTAAATATTTTAAGTACTTTTCCATTGGTAGTCAACAGGAATTAGATACCTTATTTCTTTAAGGTCTGTTTCATGTAAAAAGGTGCCTTTCTTTAGGTGCCTAAAGACTACTGAAAACCTACTTTTTCTTAAGTCTGGGGTTTCAGGTCAGGCAGAAAGAAAATGTAAGCTAAGTGACAGGAATTGTAGATCACCTACAGACTGACAAGCCATGAAAAATTAAGATCCTGACAGGAGTCTGCAACGTTCACTCTGGTGAGAACATAAAACTGCATTTCAGTATAAGCAAGGAAAATACCATCTATGGGAAAAACTACCTGTGAAAATGCAGGGACGCTGTGGGGAAAACAAGACAATGACACTGAAGGAGACATCAATGCATTGAGCTGATAGGGCATGAAGAGAAACAGGGACTGGCTGAGATGCTCTCTAATTACCATGGAAAACCTGGGTAAAAGGGGCATTCCCAGACACTTGGGGAAGTCAGATTTGAGTTGTCACTGGAGGTGTCAGGGCTGAGAATTATGACTAGATGCACAGTTGTTTTTCTCAAAGGATAGCATAACCTCTTACAAACATTTAATTGAATTGTTAATTATTTCACAGATTTATTGCATAAGCAGCAGTGTAACCACAGGTGGCTCAAAGGAGGAATCAGAAGTGTCTTGAATGCTGTACCTGTTCAGATTTGCATCAGTTCTTCACCGTCTGAATTCTGCTTGGATAGCAGCTCAGTTGGTACGTGAGTGATGATCAGGTTTTTGATGACTGGATGTTGATGGAAAAGGAAAGGAAGTAAACCCAGGTGTTCTGCTGTTTAAATCCTAAGTAGACAGTACTGGCTCCTTTATTCTGGAGTTTGACCTAGTAAAAACTCACTCTGACTTTTCAGAAGGCGTAAGATCCTAAATCCCTCTGGCAATTTTAAAAATACCACCTTCCTTTTATAATCTCCAATGAGAGACGGTTTAATATTACAAAAATATTGTTTGGGGAATTTGTTCCTCATACAAGTGAGAAATTCTTTGTATACATATGACCTGCATGGTGAAAAAAACCCAAATTATTAGTATGTCAACCTTTTAGTTTTTTGAGAAAAGATCACATCAGCAAATAAATCCACATTATCCTGGTAAATATTTTTAAAGAGGATGCAAAACCAGATCAGAGCACAAAAGTAGCTTTACTAACAGCTTCTACTGAGATTAAATATATATAAATATATGTATATATCTCCCAAGACAAAATACACAGCTTCATATAATCTGCTAAAGAGAAAAGTAAATATTTTGCAACCACAAATGAAGTCAAAGCATAACATTGTGGTGAGACTTAAGAGGAGTTACCAGACCAAAATGTCTCATTATTTCACAAATTATAGCAGCATGAAAAAACACTCCTTTAGTTTCAGGATACTTAGGTCTGTTTCACGAAATAAAAACATGTGATTAAAACAAAGCAGTGTTTCAAGCTGAGCTCCGGCCGCTGGCTGAGCTTGGTGTGATCGCTGCAGCGTGAGTGACACCAAGCCCACACTGCAAGTATGAGAAATGGGCTCCTGTCACAGGAATGGGCTGGCACTTGGACACAGCTACGTGCACAACATTTTCTTATGCCCACACCGAGGGCTTTTCAGGCAAGGTGATACCCTGTAGGCTTTATGTTCCTTTCACTAATGCTATGGATTAAAGTATTATGGGCAAAAAATGCAACTGGTAGCCTTGACCTGGTTTGTAGTGGGTGCTGGGAGCCAAGTTCTGCCCTCAGTTACACCCTGTAGCTCCCCTGTAGCCCGTGGTGGTGCCAAGTGTAACTGGGGGAAGAATTCAGCTGTTCAAATATGTCCATGGTTACCAAGCCAACTGGCAGCAATTGCCAGGGAATAATAGGAGTGTTGAGGGCAGATCTGAGGAGCCTTCGTGGGGCGGTCTGGAGATCTGCACAGTGCTTGTCTACAGACTGTCTGCCCTCCTCAAGTCTAAGCTATTAGTTTTTCCTACTTGCTCTAATGTACTGCAGACAAAAAGGGTCTTTCACTGGTGAATGCTAATAAATGAAATGCTCACCAGCTGGGGCTCCTGCACCTCTCCTCACATTGTAGCAACAGCCTTTTGTTTGTGCCAAACCTAAGCTTGAAGTTTCTTGGGGCAGAGGGCAGATTTGAAAACATTTCAGATTCTATCAGAGTAAATCATTATTTTTATTAATGAAGTAGACCTGAATAGCTTGCAGGCTACTTATGACACAGAAAAACTCATCTTTTTTCAGAACAGTTTGTAGTTATTTAGTGCTTCATATTCCTGAAATTGGGAGTAGGCTTTCTGGCTCATACTCTGACTCCATCTGAGGGAACAGAAGATGGCTTTTCATTCTCCAGAAGAGGAAACAAGATCTGGAGTATTTGTCTATACTCATATTGGAAGAAAGGAACTTAAGCTCTGGTATCCTTAGCTGTAGCACCTTTGGATACCAGGGATACACCCCTTGTACTTGTACTTGGCTTGTACTCCATGAGTTGTGTGCAGCCTTGGTGAAATCCTACAGCTGAACGCTTTCAGTGTAGAAAAACTTCTTGACACTGATTAGCCTTGATTTCTGGTGTTAAAATGGAAAACAAAATGTTAATTTTTCTATGGGACAAGTAGATTCTTTGAACTCCTGCTCATATAGCTGTACACTATTTGAAAAGTGTAAACTTCACCAGAACAGATTAAAATCCCCTAGCAGCTATTTCTGTTCAGATTCACAATAGAGGTGTAATGAAAAATCAGCTGAACTGTTTTGGATGACAGTCATTCTCTTTTGGAAAGCTCTTTAGATGGGCAAATTATTTAAAAGAATTGGGTAGAATCTCTAACCTGGAAAAGGTTTGAATTAATTAATCAGACTTTCAGTTGAAATGAGTCTTTCTTGCTCTAGTTAAAACAGTGTATGTGTTTCAATTTGTACCAGTTCACTCTTTCCTATCCCTTGCATTACAAACACATTGTCATTTGAAAACAGTGAAATTAACTGTATTTAAATTAAATTTAAAAGGCAAATACAGGAATAAATACACTGTGAGGCACTTTTGTTTTGTTAGTTCTATAAGTAAGAAGTCCATAATCACTATAATAAATTCTTTAATGCAAAATATGTAGACCCTTCCATTTCCTCTGGGGCAGGTTCAAATTAACTGTTCCCTGCAAGAAGAGATTTCTTTTACCTCCAACATTTTGTTGCAATGTCTGCAGTTTCTGACAATTACTGCAGTTATGTAAAAAGAATTTGCAATTTTATGGTATTCTGCAATCTAAAACACACCAACAGTAATTTCTGGAAGAAAATATACAAGCATTTTTCTACAAGGAACTATAGACTTCAGTATTTAGAATTTGAAGCAAGAAATTATTCAGTAATTCAGATCTGGAGGGGGTCTGAAGTAGGAAGAATGTTAACTGCTTAAGCAAGGATTTCCCCTTTTGATTAATAAATAAATTTTTCTTATCTAAAACATGCTGTTTCCAATGATCCAGAACTACAAATGGTTCAAAAGGGAAAGACTGAGACATGCAATGTGTCAAACTGGGCCTCAGTGTTTCCTAGGCAGCCGTTGGACAGCGGGGTGAAATACAATACCCAAAGGTGGGAGGGCAGAGACACAAAGTACTCAGCTGTAAAATGAGCCCATTCTAATTATGCTCAAAGATCCTATGTCTTCAAATGGATAAATGTCATTTACTGAATCACTTCTCCTTGAAGAAACTTTTGAATTATATTTTTGCTGGAGGAAGATCCATCTTCAACTGCTTATTTCTATTTTCATTGAAAAAGATAATTATCTTTCAAGAAAAAAAGAAGAGTGGAAATTAAAACTGCCTTTGCAATTCCTATTTTCTTTTCGAGAAGGAGGGATTGAAGAAAAATACTTTATTTAAAAGAAACAGTCCATTCCTTCCTCATTGTCCTCTTAAAAATGAAGGGCAGTCAAAAGGAGAATTGTCCTTTTTTAGAATTGTGTTAAAGCATAATACTCTCCACATTACTGCATGAGGAGGACCAGTCTCAGATGGCTGGCATTGTCAGAATTACATGGGAGTCAGAGCAGATACTGCTGATTTACAACAGCCTTAGGAGGCCATAATGTTGGGGGTTTAGTCTGTTTGGTTTTATTGTTTTGTTTTGGGGGGATTTGGCTGTTCCAGTACTCATCGGGATTATATTTTAGAACCTCAGTGCTGTGCAGTCCAGTTTCACAACTCACAGCATCTGTTACTGCATAGTGGCAAAAGGTCCACTTGTTAGAAATTATTAAAATGGACCAGGGATGGAGAGAGGAACCTTTTTGTCTGGTGCTGAATGCCACAGAGAAATGAAATAACATGAATTCCAGGTCACTCACAAAGGTGGGGAGGGGGGGTTGTGTAGAAGCAACATTCATAGGTATAAAAAGGCCAAACAAACCTCTACTTTATACCCAATACATATTCTAAGAACAACTGAACAGCTTTTCTGTGACCACTGAGTATGTCATCATTTCATCCTGACTTTGTAGACTTGGCTGAGAAACAACTTGAAAGTGAATACTGCCACACTCCTATTGTAATAGGAGCTGCATCCATATGATCTCTGCACAGAAAACACTTTGCCCATGGCTCTTATATCTCCTGACAACCCTTAAATCCTCTGTATTCATCAAAAGAACATGGGACAATGTGAGGCTGGAGATATAAAACATTTTGTGGTATGCAGTGCACCAGCTCACCTCCAACAGTCGCTCTGGGGAGGGGAATATTAAAGGTCCAGAGAAGAGTCAGAATGATCTGAAGAACAGTTTAGAAGACAGACAAGAACATATTATATCAATATAGCCATCTAAGCATTGTCTTAAAATGTTAATGGTATTTGATTATATCTTTCTTTTTAATCTGGATTTTAAATCATATAATCATCATCCTAAAGTGGCTTAGGGTTTCTTCAACATTGTTAGATATGGTTTTAAAGGTTGATTTAAAAGAGTCTTTTCCATCAATGAAAGCATGAACATGGGATATTTTAATGGGAAAAAATCATTTGTTATTATCCTTAAAATCACTGATGAGAAATTTAGCAGACTAAATGTTCCAGAGAATGGACACTCAGATTATAATCATGCTAATACAATAGAACTGCTGAAGTATAGCAGACAGTGTGATGCACTAACCCTGGTACAGCACAGCCATGGCAATGAGCCTGTTCTGCAAGTACAATAAAGCAGAAGCAGCAATCAGCTTCCCATGCAAAGTGTCCTTCCTGGCAGATACAGCTCAGGAAATATTTTATATATACAGACTGCTCACAAGTGTTCTCATCTGCCTGGAGAGAAATTCATTACACCATACATAACATACACATACACTGTGGGGTGTGGAGGATTATCTTCAAAGTATGCCATTTATTCCAGTATTTAGCTGATTAGGAGGGAAAAGACAGAACATTCTGACATGACTAACAGAAATGTTAGTAATTTTCTGATTGTTGGATATACTTACAGTGATGGCGAATTTACTGAGTTGCTGCTGGAATTTTTCTACAAAGGACACCTTGATATGCTTCATTCTTCTGGAACATCTGAAATGAATCACAAGGAACAGATGGAATTTTCAAGAGAAAAAGAAAATAATAAAACGCCCACCATAAAAACTAATTCTCTATAAATAATCTCAATCAGGAAAACTTTTACCCCTGAGACAACCCAAGACTGCTTTTTTAGTAGCTCTTTCCCTTGTGACAAGAGCAAACTTTCCCATGCCACAAATCATTCCCATCCATCATTTTGATACAATCTGAAGGAAAGTCTGTCTACTGTCGCAATGTGTCCCATTCTTTTCAGGCTCAGATAGGGGAGAATTTGCATATTTGGCTGCTAAGACTTACTGAGCTTACAATCAACAGTTAAGATCTTTCTGGCCAGTTTTTACACTTCAGACCAGCAATTTCAATTTTGTAGTTAAGTCCTTGCTAAATTGATTTCTCAAACTGAGTCCATTTCTGATTATGTTCTTCTGGATCAGCTTCTGCAGTTACTATTGTGTTGCCAAGTTCATATGACATCAGTTACTGTAGAAGAAAGATGTTGGTCTTTCCAAAAAGGATGCAGGATGGATCAGTAGAGTAGTGTTGCTTATTCAGGAGTTGAATATTTGTTTCCTATTTCCTTGATGGAACGGCCTTAACTCTGTGAATTAGTCTGACTCAGTCTTCTCTAGAAGCTGATTTTAACTAAGTTCTGATTTAACAAATTCTGATGTTTCCTACATGCTTCAGCAGCCTCCCTTCTTGGACCACACCTCTCATTAAGGTCATAGAACAAAACCACCTTCAGATCCATCATTAACAGCTCCCTAACTGTCTCTCAGTTTCTTATTCCATTGCTATGATTGAAGCAATAGGAAAATGTTTGACTTGAAAGCAATATTCTTGTACCAATGCCTATCAAGCCTGTTTTGATTGCAACTTAGAAAAAGCAGATTTGTTTTCCTCAGTGGGAAATAACTCCATTTACTATTGCTTTTCCCTTATGTACATTGCAAATAAAAGAACCAGCTAATGGCCAGGTTTTTAGGTGCTCTTTTCAGTCTTCGGTAGCTTGAGGGAAGATGAATTCTTTGCCAAGCCAGGAGATTTGTATGCCTGGTTTGAGTTATTGACTGAATGGGTCTGCACTGCACAAGGAATTCCAGTAATAAAAAGCTCATTCCCAGCCAATGTTATTGGTCATCCATCTCAGGCAGATGCTGGGAGACAGGGACTGACACTGATGCTGAAAATGTTGTATCAGAAGAGCCTGAATGATGATTTGAATACACACAGAGATGGAAGAGGGACCAGAAATGGAAGGGAGCAGCCAAGCTTGCAGGTCTTTGCTCAAGAAGATCATTTCTAGGTACATCACTGTTATATCTTCTGATGATAACACAGAGGTAAATGTTTAGTTCCTGCAGTCTTTGGAGCCGTGAGGATGACTTGCAGGCTGAATGGTAAATCCAAGACAGGACTGATTCTTCTTGGGGCTCTTCTTACACACAACAGTGCAAAATGACAACATTCCTCTGGTTCTGTTGTTTTATAAAGGTCATAAAATGTTAGCTCAATGCAGGGCAAAAGGAAATGAAGATTTTATACGTAATCTGTTTCTTGTAACACCAGAGGGCTGTTGCAGATCTCACCAGCACTCCTGTTTGATATTTTTATTAAATTCAAGAAACAAATGTTACAAATTTGACTTGGATTTTACCATTTTTAGATTCTATTTGCTGTAGGGTGAAGTTGGGCTGAAGTGTACTTGGCTAGATGTTATTGTAGGGTTCTTAGAAGGTAGAAGTGTAAAAATAGAAAAAGATTTTCTTTGAACTATGACAATGTGTTGCTTTCCTCTGTGCTCTCCTAGAAATAGCTCTAAAGTATAATTCCTACTCTAGCTCCAAGCTATGTAATACAATTAACTAGAAAAAAGAATGACAAAAAGAATTACTTCTTATGGTGCACTTTCACCAAACAGAGAAATGAAGACAGCTACCTAAATTATATAAAACTGATTATACTAAGAGATTGTCACAAATGTCTTACAAATATATGGGTGACTGCATTTGGCAGCAGCTGGTGTGACATTTCATCCTTTGTCAATAAAATAAAGCAGTTTCATAATATCACATTTTGGTATGATACAGAATATATTAAACTACTGCATCTTAGTGAGACAAACCATGAAGTAACTATTCAGTTGCTTCAGTAAAAAGGAAAGAATAAATAAGAACTCATAGGTTTCATCCATAATAAAGAGATGACAGAAAATGTAATTTGTTTCATTTTTACTTTGAGTCATGTTTGAAAATAAAAACCAAAAACCTTTGAATCCTTAGAAATCTTTAAATTTTAATTTAAATTTATAATTTTGCCTTCAGGACTTAGTCAGATGACAGCTGAAGTAAAAAGAGAACACTTAAAGATTTCAGTGGCTGTTAAATGATGCTCATGCCGCTTACATTCAGTTTATCACCTTGCTATAGAATATACTTTAAAAAAGAACATTATAGCTGAGGGTGCTTTCACAATACTGTGCAAACTGAGTGAATAATTTTCCTAACCTTTCCAGTGCCTGAGCAGCATCTTTATCTGGAGAAAAAGTAATGGGTTTTAAATGACAGAAATGCAGAAAAGACTTTGTCATGAGTCTTCTGCAGATATTTAAACTCTACACTGTTCATTCCAGTTATGAGCCATGCTTGCAGTTCTCTTTACACATTTTGAAGTACTGGCCCAAAATTCAAATCAAAGGTCTCGTGGACTCTGATAAGTTTTTTAACAAGTTTTGAACTACTTCAGCATGAATATTTTTTTAAATTTCAACTTTCCTCGTACTGCAGCCGTAACAATTACAGCCATCAATAAACATGAGATACTCAGTGCTGACAGCCAAAGTTATTTTAGTCACATCCTACCTAACTGTACTCAGAGTCCGTGCAGTTCCAATGTGTTTTCTCTTTGGCAGCCTTTTTTTTGTGGTTCAGAATCATTTCCCCCCAAGTGTTTTATCAGCATCCAGAAGCTGTTCTCGTAAAGCAAAACTTTATAATTCTTTTCATTATGAGTTGAGGGACTAAATATTGACCAAGAAATTGCCTTAGTCTTGAATGTTGACAAATTTTTCCCATATGATCTCAGGAAAACCTTGATGGGAAACCATCTGTAAACCACCTGAGAGTTCTGGGGGTTTTATTTAATAGAGGGAAAGACAGCCCTACCCTGACTGGAGATTATTGGCTCATTGAACAACACCTCTACTCTGATGTCTCACTTTTTTAGCATAGTTTCTTTCATGCTTCCTGCCTGATTTTGGAGGTTTTCATTGTTGCACTCTTACTTTACTCCATATAAGCAGCAAACAGATCACAGGGCCTGACCAACGATCATCACTCAGAATCCTAAAATACAGAGAGCAGCGGATAGGAAATGTAATCTTTTAACTTAATGTTTCCATGTGTTGTAACACAATTCTGTGTTTGTTTGGCCGATGCTGGGTCTGGCGCACAGCACTAGAGGGCAGTACCATATTGCACTTCCAGGGAAACCATCCCCTCCCAGACACCGCTGATCAGGCTGAGAGATGGAAACTAAGTGCAAAATATAGCCACATTTCTTCTCTGAGCTTGTTTTGGTCACCAGTCTGAAGCCGATCTGAGATGCCCACACACCCCATTTTCTCAGGCTGCAGACATCCTCCTCCCCAGCAAGGCAAGGGTGGAGCAATACAGATTATTATATTTATTTTTTTTACCTTTGAAAGTATCAGGAGAAAACAGGAAACAGTAAAAGTCAAAGCTATCTTACCTAGAATGCCCCAAGAACTTGACATTTCCATTAGTGCCACTGTGCTAAACTAACAGTTTTGCAGCTTTACAAATCTGAAGACAGTCCGATTTCCTGGGACTCTGGCAAACATTTGTGTTCTTTCATTATTTAGCCCAGAAAACCAAAACAATGCAATTTGCGTATTTCCAAATATGTCTCTGCCAAATAAAATAAGAGACTAATGCCCTGAAAAACGACCCTGTTCTTTAAATTGAAGATTTTATTATAAAATATACAGAATATACTTTGTTATGTAATTTTGAACAAAAACCATAGTCTGTTTTCAGAATGCTCTTGCCCTGCTTAACAGTGGCCAACATAATTTCATATCTACTACTGTCTTTTCAGTCCAGTTTTTATTCTCCCCCTCATTTTTCTTAATTTCAACAGTTACAAATTCCAAAAGACATAATTCCTATTCCCACATAAATACAGATACACAGAACCAAACACATATTTTGGGAAGGCAACCAAGAACCCATGCAAGATTTTTATAACGCATTAAAATGCACAAGGAGCAACAGACATAAAAACAATGGATGGGCAGAAGATGATCCTTGAGGGTGATGTTTGTGCTCTCTCTGCAGCAGGAAGCAGGGCCAGGTTGGTAGCTGAGTGGGCTACGATGTCAGAAGGTCAAATCACACACTAGGATTTGGGCTCATCCCAAATGTTGACACAGTATTGAAAGGGGAAGGGAGAGGGGAAGACATGTGACATAAAGGACATTGTATCCAGCAGTAAATGTTGACTGGAAATGTCCATCATTGGGCTGGGGAGATGAAAGTCCACTCTGGGATGTTCACCACAAAGATTTGTTCTTCTTCTGTTGCTAAATGTTGAATTGGGCTGGTAATAAGCACCAGATCTGGAGAAGAAGAGTCTACTTACTAACAGTAAATATCAATTTAATTTTAATGAAATGTGATTCAATGTATATTCCCATCTGACAAAAAGAAAGTCTCACCACATACAAGGCTAAAATTTTGTGAGTGCTATTTGTCTTAGCATGCCATCTTTAAAAATTCTGCCTTGATAGTTAAGGTAAAACTACAGGATCATAATGGAATGCTTAGTTATTCTAAATCTGCATTTCATCTTCTTTGATTACATTTCAAGCTTGCCCAGTTGGCCCTTTCCCAGCTTTTAACCTTTCAGATATGATCTGCAGCTGCTGGATGCTACAGGAAACAGGGAAAAACCTAAAACCTTCTGAGGTATGCTCAGGCAGAAATGCAGTGACCCTTGAGACCTCCCAGCAGGCTTCTGAATGTACAGCACAGAGGGAACCCTTGGCTTTATGTGTTGTAGAAGAACTGCTTCAATCCCAAACTTGTTATTTCAGGAATAACATGATTAATTCTCATGGGTTTCTTCTATAGATGAAGAATAATAAGACAATTAAGCTTGGAGCAAAACCTGACTCTTACAGTCCGTCACAAAACCTCTTTTGCCTCCAGTGCTGAAACAGGCCTTAGAAAAATATTAGAATTTTCAGGAAATCTAGAGAGTACAGATAAAGGCAAACTCACTTAAATCTTAATATTACAGGTACTTGTGCTTACACTGCAAGAACAGTTTTCAGTTTAACCTGTTTCACAGTTGGGATGTAGGTAATTTTTCACAAGGTAGAATGAATATGTTCAAGGCCTTTCAACATGATTATTACTGCAGGTTCCATCAAAATGCTTCTTCACAGGATGCAGTCCTTACTTTGGAAATTAAGATGTCCAATGCAGAGCTGTTCCCATTTAAAATGTTCCTGTCTCACAACAGGACTCCAGAATACATTTATCATTCAGATTCCAAGTGAGAATAATTGTTTATGGTAAAGTTCTCAAAGAACAGGGGATACTGGGCTAACAGAAAGATGACATTCTCTTTATGTAACATGTAATCCTAATTAATATGCTCCTTCGCAGTTACAGAGAAGAATTAGTAGGATGCTTTAACATCAGTTTTTTTTACCTTATTGATCAGGACTTCAAAGTCTCCAGTTGTAAACAACAGTGGTATGAAAAAAACCAGCAAAACCAATTTTAACAAGAACACTACATGGACAAAATAATGATTTATTGGAAGCAAATATTCACACAAGGTATAAAAGCAATAATTCCAATTGTTTACTTTTTAACAAGACAAAGATAATCCATTACCAGATTTATTCAGAAACATTAGATTTAGATTAGATTTAGGAACAATGTAGAGTATTTTAAATCCCTGAGAATGATGTCCTCTCATTCTTTTATGTACTCCCTGCCCCGCCACCCCCTTTCCCCCCCAAAAAAAAAGGTGCTGGAAATTTAATTTCCTGCTAAGTTAAGCTTTTAGTGCATCACCATCCATTCTTTATATCAGCATGAAATTTAAAAATGCAATCAAGCCCAAGTTCCACATCAAACTCATCCACATTCAGTGGCAGGAACCCAATTTCAAATTACCTCTAGTTTCAAGTTGCTATCCAAGCTGCTTTATAGGTAAGGCTACTGACTCTGAAGATAAAACTTGTTCCCCTTAAATCAGACATGAAAGAAGTAACCTCCTCCTTTTTCTTTCAGCTGGACACAGCTAAGGGTTTTTACTTTTCATACAGAAGTATGGAGCTGTGAATGCAAGGCTTCAGTCTTGATCTTTTTATATCTAGATTTAAGAGATCTTAGCATCACAGACTTCCAGTTCCCACTGCACATTTCTAGTAATTTTTCTCATCCCTCATCATTTTTAGGCTTATATCAGGCAGAGAGTTTAAGAATGGCAAACTTGGGTAGCAAAAGCATTTCCTCCTATGCAATGCAAGTTCCATTACTGAGTTTCAGGAGGAAGCCACCCTGCAAGGTAACAAAGACAGATCCAGGCACAACACATGCAGACAATTTGCAGTCCAAGTTTAGACATTTTTCTAGTAAGATTGTTGCCTCTTGTGCAAGGATGTAACATATCCATCAAAGAACTCCTCTAGCTGACACCTGACAAACAGCATAAGCAAAGCATGGGGAACAAGGCTAAACTTGAGTACTTTTAAAAGCTGCAGCTGATGTTGTTGTTACCTTGTGAGTGGCCAGCTCTTCAGTTGGAGATGGAAAAAAAAATCTAATAAAACTCAAGGCATAACTCAACTAAAATAAAATTATTTCCAATATTAGAGGTAGATTTTATCCAGTGTACTATATAACAGCTGCTCCTGTAAGAGCAGAGATCTAGGAATTAAACAATTTAAATCAATTTCAACACCTATGTGCTCTTATTACTCTTAGAGTAATTAAGGCAAGCTTTTCGTATATCCTTCAAGAAAGCAGGCACACCACTCTGTAAAGAGAAAGGCAGAAAAGTTATGCTTGCATAATGAAATCAATAAAAACTATAAACAAGATGAAAATTCCCATTACATAGATCAAGGCCTTCAAAGAGATACAGTTCTAAGATCTAATATACAATTGTCTAAGATACAAGTCTAAGGTCTGGTACATAGCATCACACCAATACTTGGGAACAAACTGCATTAGTGAAGTTTTCTTGTCTTGAGGCTATTCATATATGCTCTGAAACACAGTTATTTGGTTTGCTGCAGAAATTTACCTGCCCAGTTGACAAACCAAAGGAATTTGACAGGAATTAAAACAAGTAAATGAATTAAGACTATTGTAATGAGACCATACAATAGTGAGATTGTAAATATGGGACTGTGTAAAAACTAGGAAGGTCGATATATCTGTTTCAGAAAGAATTAATTCTGCCCAACACGCAGAAGATGGGTATGACTGCAGTGAATTTGTTGCTTGAAACAGATTAGCCAAAGATCATTGAATGCAACCTTTCCTTACCTTGGAAGCCCAGTTGACCAGCCAGGATGGAATCATGCCACCAGGATTATCAAAATAGTACATATAGACTAGAGAGGAGAGAGAAGTTACCAGACAGTTACCTGTGACTCAGCTCTAACACACTGTCACAGAAGCTGTTGGTGGGCATGACTGGAGCACCAACTACAGCAGTTCTACTCTAAATTCTTCACAAAAAGGTCAACTTGTCCTGAAGTGAAATGTGAAGTAAATACAGGCATTCCTCGTTAACCTTTGGGAAGCTGATAGAGCCACATCAGCAATTTAGATTACTGCAAACCATTTTTGTCACCCTGTCTTATAAAGTAAGACTGTCTTTAAAAGACTAATCTCAGGCAGGAGTCAAGGTCTAGGCAAACCCTTTAATCTATACTTCTGTCAAACACAATACTTGGATCATTGCTGAGTTAAGAAAATTGCAGCAGAGTCTCCCCAGCTGAACTGTCTGGCAGGAAAAGAAGTACAGACTGGGGGTGGGATGGAAGGACAGGAGGAAGTGGTCAGTAGACTATTCTTAACCACCCAGCCCAACTGCTAAATAAAAAGATTCTTTACAGTAGTGCACTGCACTGGATATTTCCAAAAGTTTCATTCATTTTAAAGTAACCCCTGGCTTAAAATTTCCAGACCCCCTCTTTGTGTGTTTTGTTAATACATACATTCCCTGCCTACATGACTTGTCACACATTTTCTTGACCTCTTACCTTTACATCCAGCCTTGCCATCACTTTCAATTGCCAGGCTTTGTTTATAGCTTTTAACTCTGATAATACCGGGCTTTTCAGGGCACTGAGGAACAGCCACACTTTTTGCTAACACAACCCAGATCTTCCTCCCATCCACATCCATCTCCTGGCATTCCCGAATATAGACATACTGCATTGCAAGTTGAGGAGGCATGTCAAAACAATGTCAGTGTGAGGGATGAGGAGTTGACAAGTGAATTCCATCACAAACAGCAGCTCCTTCAAGTTATTTCTTGTGTTCTTACAGGATTCAATCCTGCAGAGCAGTAATTCAGCTATGTGCGCTCTAGCTCTGTGTGGGAAGAGACACCCACATTCCTCTTCATGCCATATATATTCATTTAACACAAGGACTGCAAGATCTTAGACCAGCCCAGCACAGTGATGGAATCAGTTCACTGTTGGGACTCTTGGATGACCAAGTGGCAAAAACTGCAAGAGGAACAAAAGTCTGAAAGGATACATCTCTGTTTGAGAGAGGAAAAGGGTACTTCACTTCCCAGTAGATTACTTTTTCACCATCATATGTTTCCTCATACAGTTCTATGGTTGAAAGAAGAAGACTGTTAGATATTTTTAATTTCTACTGCAGCAGAAATATAGATGGCATCAAGAACTGCTCAGATTTCTGACATGAACACATTTTACACTTAACCCTGATGTCAAAATTAGTATGTATGTAGAATTCCAGCAGTAAGAGACATTAAAAAGTTCTGTACCAGGACTGTTCAGGAATCAGTTAAACAAAAATAGGTGGCCTGTTTTCCTGTGGTGGAAACAAACAAACACACAAAACCAAACAAAAAAACCCAAAACAAAAACAGAACAAACAAACAAAAAACCACCCCCAAGAATCAAATTCCTTTTCCAACAGTTTGCTCATTCAAAGCCTTTCTGTCTCAAAGCTTTTTCCTCACCTGTGCATGTTCTGCACAATTCTAAGCCACAAGTACAATGTGCTTTTCCACAGGCATGTCCTTGTACATTATACTGGGCTATATGGAATTACAATGAGTGCAAATTTCTAATACCTGAAGACATCTTACATGAAGGATTAATGAATTTTTGAAAAGATGTCCGGAATTTCACAGCAGTATATACATGGAACAGCAAACTAGAATCTTGAGCAGTTTATGAGTCTTCATTAAACTACCTTCAGTCTGCCTGGAAACTCAAATCAGAAGGCAGCAGAACATGAAAAAAAAGTAACCTAAGAATAGTGCCTAAAACATGGCAGTGACTCAGTTGGAGAGTAGTCTGGCATGAAGGAGAAAAATTAGTTGTAATCAACCCAGATAACTTTTGAAAGTTTTGGGTTTGCAAACCTATCTACGGTATAGCTTCTTTTCCTGAGGCAGCAACTGCCACTGTGAGGGCAATGGACCTGACAAGCCATGGACCTGAGCCAGGGTGAACTCCTGTTAGCTCAGGAGTAAAAGAAGAGCGTCATCCAGAAAGGTGGTCCAACTCAAGGCAGAGTGGTCTTTTCTTCATTTAGAGCAGACTTGTGCTTGAGGTGCTCTATATCCTCCAGACTTGCAAGTGAGGCCAGAATAAACTGATAATCTCATTGATAAGGCAAGAACAGTGCCCTAGATGGGAGATTCCTTCTCTGTATAATACATTCCAATATGTTCAGTTGGTATGCCCTACAGATCAGCTGTCGCCCATGGAAAAAACTTCTCCAGCTGGAGCAATACTGGATGCACCTGGTGTTGTAATAACCCACAAGATTTATCTTTTCCACCAGAGGTCACTGGAGCATTGGATTATTCACTTTACTTTCACTTCTAACCACAGAGATTTCCTTTTTTCAAAGCCACCATGAAGCTGTTTTAAAGACCTCGATACAACTGTTATTAGCTACCTTATTTACCTGTGTATCTTTGCAAAAACAGGAAAAACACACAACAGGTAAACCCATCCCACCTGCATTCACTTCAAATCAGAATACAGTGCATTTTAATCAATAATCTGATTTCATTCAGCATCACTACAGGTGATCACAAGTCCATTCTACCCATAATAGGTATAGCAACACTTCCTGCTTCAACAGTCAGTTATTACCATTAAATTGTTGGGAAGTCTGATCTCAATCAGGAAGGTGCTGCAATCAGGAGTAGCAAGTTTCAGTATTGCTCAGGCCCAACCATTTTGCATCATGCCACAGAAGTGTGTAGTACCTCAGTCACTACTCTACAGTTTAGTCACAACTTCCCTGCTGAATTGGCAGCTGCAGCACAAACCAGCCCTCAGGAGCAGTTGCCTTTTCAGCTAAAAAGGCAGCTGCTTATGCTCTGGTCAGGTTTTTATTTCAATGCCAACCAGCAGTTCAGCAGAGAACTCTCCTTTGGACTGCTACTTGCACGGCAGTAAGAGCACCAAGGAATACAAACAGTAACACCAAGTTCCTGACTGTAAAAGGTGCCAAGAACATCCAATGCTTTCAGGAAAAGATATTCCATCATGCATCAAACTGGTGGAAGCCTGAGGAAAAATTTTCACAATGGGAACAAACAGTCTTTGAAATAATCTCCCCAAGGACAAATTTTAAGACTCAGCTGAACAGGGTGCTGGGCCATCTTGCCTTGGCTTTGCTCTCACCAAGGAACTTTGGACCAAATGATCCCAGAAGTCCCTTCCAACCTGCTATTCTATGACACACTGCTCCACTGCCATGTGCAAAGATGCACAAAAGGTACCACCTCCATTTCTCCCCAAGAGATCTACTAAAATTTAACCTAAGCATTACAACTAGAAGTTACAAGGTATTCCAGCATAACCAGTGATGCTAATCATACGCTTTAACCAACACGGGAAGAATTCATTCCAGAGGAAAGATTAATGCTGTTGAGACATTAGTGATTCCATATCAGTGTTTACTTGTGTATTTGCAGAGTGTAACCTTATCCCAAAAGATATTTAAGTCTGATCCAAAGTCTTTGGAGGCAGTAACTTCAAAATACCTTTGAGGAAAGTTTCAGTGGGAACAATCAATGTGGACTCCAGCTCGCTTTTACACTGCCTAGATAAGCTTACCTTTAACATATTGATCCCACTCTTTTCTGAAATTCAAGTCCATGTAGACATCTGCACACAATTTTGGGGGAACATCAGCAAGACCACCAAAGATTTTATATTCATAAAGTCCTGATTGCTGTGGAAACAGAATTAGGAGAGGAAAAGTCACACAGGAAAGGGAAGTACTCTGCATCAGGGAGAACAGCTGAAGGAAGTTAGGTGGGGCACAAACTACAAATATGTTCAAGAGCTGTGAAAGCAAGTGTTCAAAAAACAATGCAAGATTCAGTCTTTAACCTCTCGACTTTTTGATCTGTACATGAAAGTTTAAATGCAGCCAGGCAGATCTGCCCTGCACAATGGCTGTTCCTTCCCTTACACCAGTACCCTTCTACTTCATCAGGAGTTCCAGAGGGAGCATTTCTTCACAAACACAGTCCCCCTTTTCATCTCCAGTGGTCAGTGTGGATTAAATCCTGTCCACACTGAGGTTTACCAGAAGCATTAAATTCTTGTGGCAAGTTAGTTATGCTTGTACATTAGGCTGGGATACTTTAGAAGCATACTTTAGAAAGAATGCTTTACAATGTCCATACAATGTTTTATACATACATATTGTATGAGCCATTCATACAATAGCAGCACAGCCACTGCAGTAAGCCAGGGTTTCCTTGGTCCTGTTTGCCTGGCTAAATCCAGCCTCCAGCTTCCCAAAGTTCCTTTGCCTTCATTCACTGCATGATGCATTTACAGGTCAGCTCTGGGTTAAGCTCTGATCCTAAGGCCTCTACTTCATCCACTCCAGCAGGAACACGCCCAGCACCCTGTACTCCATCAACACACTAATTCCTGCACGGATACCTGGCAGGCACCTCAGCCCCACCTGTGCTGTGTGCACATACTGATAAACTCGTCTTGCCATTGCCAGTCACCACATCCACACTGTAAACAGGGACTAGTTACCACTGAACAGAATTCCAAGGTCTATGAAGTGATGGTTTTTTTTAAAGAAGCTTCCCCCACTCCATTGTGCCTTTAGGATAGCCCTATATGCTTGCTGTTTTTTTCTAACATTATCATGTCGGAAATGATTTCACAGAATACAAATACAAAATTGTCCTACAAAGAACAGCATGAAGGCCAGGAGTTGTGAGGAAACTGTGACCACTCAGTTTAAAAAATAGGATATTTGTATATATATATATATGGATTTAGAAGTCAGCACTGAATAAAAAAACATCTATGTCAGAATGGAAACAATATCAATCACAAGTCAGTTCCTAAACTACTAAAGTTCTTTAAAGAAGTTAGTCCCCCCAAAAGGGGAGAAAATTTCATTGCAACCCTTTCTGAACTACGTCCTGATTTTAGAAGATGAAGGGTGGGAAATCAGTGTGCAGGGAGTTCTGGAGAAGGACAGGAATGGGGGAAGGCTCCTGGAGAGCAGGATGCTGTGACACGGGCGGGCTCAGGAGCAGATGTTGAGGGACACGCTCCCCTCACCCCAAACCCCTTCCGAGGGGAGGGTGGCACATCGGACACCCGGGAATTCCCGCTGCTCACAAGCTCGGTTCCCCGGCACGGTGCTCGGGCGGGGGTCCCTGCGGCCCTGCAGCTTTCCCATCAGCAGATAATGGCATTACCCCGAAAGCCGATTTCTGCGAGCCCGGAGAAACCGAGCCCAGGCCTGTGCGAGGAACCGGCGGCTGCGGGCGGGGTCCTGCGGGCCTCGCGTCCCCTTCATCCACCGCCCCCTTCATCCACCGTCCCCATCACCCACCGCCCCCTTCACCCTCTGCCCCCATCCCCATCCCCTTCATCCACAGCCCCCTTCACCCTCTGCCCCCATCCCCATCCCCTTC